TGGCTATGTATTTTGTACTAATTTAGTATTATGTTATGTTAAGTAGTAAGTAGTTTCTATCTAAGCAGCAACAAATATCTAATTACTACTAACTAACTAAACTACTAGGAGGCGGACACGGGACGGCCACAAAAAAGAAACGAGCGTTGAGCGCAAAGTCAAAAGACCAAAAGGGCAAAAGCGAAAAGGAGAGAAGATAGATAGTACTCCGTAGTTAGTAGAGAGAACGCAAGTACGTAGGGGAAGGGAGAGAGAGAGAGCGCGCGCGCGCGCGCGCGCGGAATGAATGGGGGTGAACAAAGTGTGGATTATTGCGCAAAAGAAGAAAAGGCAAAATACAAGCAATAGGGAAACATGGAATGGCGTATGGAGTACGACAACTCCAGTCAGGCACAGGTCCTATTTTTTTCTTCTTCTTCTTTACTGTACTCTTCTCCTTCATGGTTAGCCACTATGGAATATGGAGAACCGACTCCATAATACCTTTTCATTTTATTTGACTCTACGTTTCGTTCCGTGCACTCTCCATTTGTGGCAGTTTTGGCGTGCGGGAATTCATCATATCCATAGGGGGGCGGCGTGGGTGTGGAAGAGGTTACGGAGTACGGTGGGCTCACAAGCTTCCAGAGGAAGGCAAGTACTAGGTTGAACCTGGGTGAGGAAAGTAGGCTACGCCCAAAAGGGATTGTGAGTGTAAAGGGGGGCGGGGGGGGGAAAGGGAAAGTGAGAAGAGAGAATGGTGTAGTTTGTGCCGTGTCTATACAAAGTAGCGTGTCGGAAGGGGAGTGACCAGTGACCAAAAGAGAAAGGCGTGGGAGGAGGAGGGTAGACACGAAGATGGTGTGGATCAAAGAGAAAAGAAAATAATGGGAAAGAAAAGAAAAAAGAAAAAAGGGAAACGGGAAAGATTGCAGGAGGGTAGGCAACGCCAAGAGTTAAGCTTAGATGCAGCGACCAAGGTTCGCCTTGAGCCCTTGAGGGTGTTTCAAGGTAGCGGGGAAGTGGCGGCAGATCACAAAGATACGTCAAAGGGTATACCCGTTCCGTGGGGGAGGAAGTCACTGGACGACTAGAGATAAAAAAGCTCCCAGGAATGGAGTGGGCCAAAAACCCCACCTGCTAGCCATGATTGACTGGCTGTCCCTTTTCCTTTTCTTTTGCCTTTTTGGATCTGGCAGGCCTTTTAGTAGGTACCTGGTTAGTACGCTGATGTGGTAATCCAAATGCGCATTCTACTGCGATACCGGTAATGTTACCACAGGTACACCACCAGAACTGAACTACTTCTCCCGAAGAGAGGCGAAGAGGAAGAACAGCAGACGGCACATGGAGGGGGAGTAATAGCCAAACGGCTGCCTTGAACTCATTCTGTCAAAGGAGAAAATAATAATTGTTGGTTTTACGTCGATTTTTTCATCCACCCCCCTTTAAGATTTCTATATCACAGTGGGGAGCCAATAGCGGCAGTCCTGCGACGCCATAATGCAGAAGACATGTTGCGCAAGAAAGCAGCCAAGACCCAAGTCCAGAGAGTCCAAGCACGATGATTGGTAAATAATTCATCTGAGTCTAGTAAAGATGTGGTTAGGAGTTAAGTTGGTACTAGAGTTGATGACTTGGCCGACTGGGAACGCCGTAGCCGGAGGGCCATAGGGCGCGGGCTGGCTGCAGGGCCTAGGAATCCCCGTAATACCGCTAAGCAGGAGAGATCCTGGTTGAGGCGGTATAGCAACGCAACGGGGCGGCTCATGCTGAATGCTGGGAGATTCTTGGTACACACAGGAAGTAAGTACCCTTTTGCAGCTGCACACTATGGAGCGCTACTCCCATGTCTCTGCGCGGAGTTTCTATCGAATATTCTTCCTGTCGAAGGTATTGTTCGGGTTCATTGTGTGCATGCATGGTCGGCGGTGCAGCATTCGGCGCGCAAGGCCCAAATGTATCATGCGATGGGGTGCACCGTGCGTGCGTTACAGGGAAAATCCATCCATCAGAGATCTAACAATGAAAGTTTGATTCTCTTTGGTATTATTTTCGTGGCATGAAAGGTCAACTCGTATTGCAACCTTGTCCGACCAGTTCATGGTTCTTAGCCGATTGACTAGTATAGACCGGGATGGTGAGGTGGTCCGGACTATAGGGCGACTGTCGTCACATACCTTTCGGTGGTCAGATATCTACAGTACGTACAATCGTACATATACTACATGACTAGCAAGCTCAACCCGCACTCTCATGCAAGTAGAGCAAATTAGATCGGACTAATCATCAACATTTGCTGCACAGTTTCAGCCATGATGCTGTAGGTGATGATATCGGGGAAGGGTTGCTGCGGAAAAGGGCAGAGGGTCATGCGGGATGACGACATGGCTTGTTGATTGCAACGCGTTGGACCGGAACTTCATTTGCAATTTGCGTGGTCTGCAGAGTTGGAGCTCTCGCGTGTTAATTAATATGGGGTCGGAGTCTGCCGTCATGAGGTATTTGCCTCTCTTGGTGCGGAGTCGACCACAATCCTCCTTCTCGTAGCCCGAGGGTGTGCGAGAATGATTCCGAGGGACGAGTCGAGTATTATCGAGGTAAAGGTAGTAGACAAGCACCCGTGCTTGCATGAGATTGTGTGGATGCGAGGGATCTTTCTTCCCCCTCCTCTTGTTGGTAACAAGTAATATCCAACACGCCCCGCCTGCCGATGCGGAAGAGAGCACTTCCATCCATCGTGGGCATTCCAATTCTGAATTAGAAGACCACTAATATTCATCTTTAACCCGCGGTGCCAAAATGAACCGGTCAATTCAGGGTCACGCCAACCTGGTTCTTGGTTTGTTTCCGTAAATAAAACAGCCAAGCTGATGATGGTTATGGTGATATGATAATGTAAAAGTGTAATGATGATGATGAATACAATCTCTTGCGGTCGCAGGATGCTGCGAGACCCTGTTATGGTAATTTTCCAAACATGACCTCCAAAACAAAGATATACATCAGAGGGTACTACACCGGATATTTCCTCAGCCACTAGACTTGTGATCAATTTACTTTTGTACTATCTTTTTTTCCCATGCCGCTGTTGGGATCTGAGCAACCTCTCTCCAGGAAGAGCACACTACTACACTACACTACACTACACTACTGTAGATAGTAGAGATAAATTAATTGGAACCATCTCCGATTCAGATCGCGACCACGTTACCGGGATTGTATGGGCTGACCCGCTCCGTCCTCGGTTCTGGCTGGGCTAGTGACATGGTACTGGAAACCAATTTCCATCCATTCCCATGGCTTCCTGCTTCTGGGTCCCCCAGTTGTCGTCTGCTCTGCTTTTGCTTCTCTGGGTTTAAAGCCAATTCAGCAAGACGAGAAACGGGGCAAGAGAGTCCATGCTCGGGTCTTAGCTTGCCCGCACCCCCCCATCGTCTTTTTTTCTCCTCCTGAAAGATGTGACTTGACTTGACACTATTAGGGATGGAAGTGGGAAGTGGGTGGTGGGTGGGCGAGAGGGAAGGAACCGTCTCTCACCGACGTCAGAGCGCGGGAACTGGGTAGGCCGCGCCCTACGCTAGCGGCACAGCTCAAGAAATTTGAAATCCGCTATAGGTCGGAAAAAGGAGGAGGATAGAACACATCACACGCAACATCCACCTCCATCAAGCAGGAGCAGCAGGATGGGGCACACTCTCTCCAGTTGACAACACTCAGGCAAGTACCCATCATTGGTAAGGAGATACACTAGAGGAGAAAGGACTCGGTGGATGCGAGAGCAGCTGAGAAGAGATGATTTGAGTTTATCCTAGTAGACGAAGAGGCTCGAGATACCATGATTCAAGCTGGTAACCCCCAACTCTTTGCTTTGTTGTTGTTGTTGGTTGGGGCCATGAGCGGCTGAACATACACGCACTACTAAGTGAGTAATCGACTACTACGGTAAGAATAATAAAAAGAAAGAAAGAAAAATCCCAAGAATAGCAATTGGTCAGGAAAAGCACTACCGACAATCACGCTTAGTTCAACTGCCCAGGCCGTTCCTTCCAAGAGGCTCATTTTGAATCTTCAACACCACAATACAAAGTGTGCCAAACTACTACGTACTGTACTTACTCCTACGCCCGCCTCCAAACCGCACAGTCTATAGTAACGTCAAGGGTGGATGCCGGGGAGGTGGCGGCCGCGATGGCCATGACTCCGACTGACGGACGCCCACTTTCTGCAACCGTTCGGCTGGGGCGTTTTTTCTCTTTCATTGCTGTCCACAATCCTTCCCTCAAGGCGATGGTCTGTGAGTGTGTGCCACTGGAGCCCGGGAGAGAAGCTGGTGAGGACCACCAAGGATCAATATGATAGGTACAGCTCATCACCTCTCGGGCTTAGCTTAACTTAAAGTTTCTTCCTGGTCCCCTCCAGGAGACAGGGTGGAACACTTCGATTCGACGATAACAGCCTAATAGGCGAGGGTTGCAGGACTGAGCGACAGGGGAAATTTACTAGATTGATGCTGGTGGATGACCACATGCATCGGGCCAAGATCGAGTCACTCGTCGTGCATGCCGACCATCGGAGATGGCTGCGCGAACCGGTTTAGGTCGGATCCCTGGGACTGAGCTGAATGGGGGACTGGAGACAATGGCTCTACTTACTAGGGGAAGGGGGCTGTCGCGTGGTGCAACAACTCTTGGTGACATTTGTAACTGGAGAAAATCATTACTAAGGGACTGGAATTCTCGAATGAGCTCAATGGATGGAGAGTAGTGGGAGAAAAAAGGGACCAATTCCCATTGGTTCCAAGACCAACAACCATCCTCTCGTCATACCGGATTGAGCAGGTGCAAGAACAGGTCCCCATTGCTAGAATGCCCCAATAGGGAGGGGGCGGGTGGCCGAAAAGAAATCAAAAAGAGAAAAAAGAAAAAGCGGCGACGGGAACGTGGGTCGGAAAACCCACACGGTTTTTTTGGCACGAGGCTGGCCATGCGGGCGACAAGAGGAGCCTTTCCTGAAAATCCTCAAAAAGGTTCGAAAATCGCAACCCAGTTACAGTATCCTGGATGTTCGTCACAGATCTTGAGCTCGTGCTTTTCTTCATCTGGTTCGATGAAGAAGCCCTGATCGGCATTGAAGAGGACCGGTAGGTTGCGATATGCCTTGGCTTCCTCTGGTGACATGCGAATATGAGCCAGGGTCCAAGCAGTTGGCCGAAGTTGTTTCTTGAAATCAAGAAACTGGTCCGCATTTGCACCAGCAGCTAGAATGACCTTGGAAGCAAAGTGTTGCTTCCCATCTGCTGTTTCGGCCCCTACAATATCCCGGGGTTCAGTGTCGGATGAAAATAGTAAACGGACAACTTTTCCCTCGGGGTCGCCTCCAATGAAGGTGACTCCAAGCCTTTTGGCTTCGGTGATGGCTGATACGAGTGCTTTCCGAGCATGCACCCACCCAGCGCCTGTTTTTTTCCAATATCCTTTCCAACCTGGCAGGGGACCCGTCAAAATACCCGAGGGAAATGCCTTCCGGAAGTCCTCCGGGTCATTGAGCTCCACTATGTCGCCTCCGCGGTCGCGCCGTCCAATATGCTTGAGACCGCCCGGGGAGAAAGCTGAAGTGATGTTCCCAACATTATGGAAATGTGGCTTGAACACCGGGTCGTGCTGAAAGCCCCTAGTAAGTGCGGCAAAAAAGGTCTTGTTGACGAAGTTGGGGTCATCCTCGGCGGGAGGGTCCGCTTCGCTTCGGTTAGCTACATCCCAGGTACACGGGCATTCCACACTCACTGAAGGAGACTATCTTGTTCACGTCATTGCCCGCCGAAATGGCGGATGGCTGATGATACGCATCTAAGACAGTGACGTTGGTATAACCCCGTCGGGACAGATGAAGGGCAGTGGACGCTCCCCAAGTGCCTGCACCGATGATAAGGATGGGAGCTTGAAGCATGGGTACGTCTATCGGGGAAGCGGAGTTAATGCGAATGAGAATGGAGAGTGATGGATGCTCTGAAGACTGATCGGCGCGCATTGTGTGGCCACGGGGGATTTCGGTTTGCTAATGCAATGATGCAGATGGGAGGGGAAGGCCAAGCTTATCAAGTTGCCATCGACGGCTAATCTCATATTGACCCTGGCCACAAGGCAATGGAAGGTCGAGGCGTAAGCAAATCACATTGGGAGTTGATAGCGACATGGTACAATGGCGTGAGTCAAGCATGAGCGTCGCGATGTTTAGCAGCCGATTAGCGTCCGACTAAGCTCCATCCTCCAACTTTCCTGCTTCGCTTGGACCTGCCGCCCGTCTTGTCTGCCCTCTACTTTTGCCTCCACACTTTGATAATTATCCCGATAGCGATATCGCTACAAACCTGGGGTAACATTGGCTAATATCATCCGAAGCTTATCGAACCCCGGATCGTGATAGTTGCAAACCGTTGCAATGCCTCTAATGCATTCCCCTCCTATAAAGGGAGAGGCAGCCGTCGGTATGAAGACTTTCCAACCAACAGAGCTTCAAGTCTTTCTCCGGTGCTGCCATAACCATGCCGATCTTCAAAGATAGGGACCTTGACGTCCCCGGCACTGAGCTGCTGATTGATGTTCAACACGACCAGAACGTCCCCCATGACAGCTCCGACATCATCCTGTTGCCCCCTCCCACGGCCTGTGAGGGCGATCCTCTCAACTGGTCCGACTTCAAGAAATACTGGCACCTTCTCCTTGTCTCTGCATATGCCTGTATCTTTTCCTTTGCCGAGAACAACACCGGTGATGCTTACTCGACAATCGTGGACATGACTGGGTCCACCATGACCATCATGAACGGTGGCGGAGCACTGAATTATCTCATGCTGGGTCTGGTAAACATTTTCTGGATCCCAGCGGCTATGAAGATTGGTCGTCGCTTTTGTTTCCTCGCAACCTTACTCCTTTGCATTGGATCTTCCATCTGGATGGGCGCTTTTCATACTGCGGGTGAATGGTATGGATGCAACATCGTTAATGGTCTCGGTACATCCGCCTATGAAGCTGTCATCCAGCTTGCAGTGTTCGACCTCTTCTTTGACCATCAGCGCGGTCGCATGCTGGGTTTCTACATCTTTGCCCAGCAGCTAGGCTCTATCATTGGCCTGGTCTCAGGAGGATACATTGCTGACGGACCGGGCTGGCGCTGGGCTCAGTGGGTGGTCTCCATTGGAGAAGGAATTTTGATCATTATCTTCTTCTTCACGTATGAGGAGACGTTGTTTCCCCGGTTCCTCTTCAACCCTTCGCAGAGTTTGCCTACAGCTGAGGCCAAGTTAAAGAACCCAACTGATGCGACCGAAACCGCCTCTCTGGACAAGAAGGATCCCGCCACGGTCGATAATGCGAGTGTGAACGAGGGATCAGCCAGTGACACCATTCCAGCGCCGTCTGAATTTCCCAAGCGGACGTTCAAAGAGAAATTGCGACTTTGGGTATATTACCCGCAGGATAAAACCACATATTGGTCTTACTTCAAACGACCATTTTTCCTGCTGGCTTTCCCTAACATCATTATTGTACTACCCCTTAACCTCAAAAGGCCTTTGTACATCGATGCTAACATATTTTTTAGGCTGGTATCATTTTCGCCTTTGGCTGCACCTCTGGAATTGTTACCAACAAGACCATTTCCGAGATTCTCACCGGGGCACCGTACAACTTCACTGACGGCCAGACCGGCCTTGCGTATCTGTCTGCTCTGGTGGGCAGTATTATCGGCTACCTCACTAGTGTAATGGGTGATAAAATTGTCATTTACCTCGCTCGTCGCAATGACGGTGTCAAGGAGCCTGAGATGCGACTCTGGGCTCTGACGCCTTGTTTCATCTACTCGGCAGTAGGATATGAGCTCTACGGCTGGGGAGCACAGGAGGGTGCCCACTGGATGACAATCACTGTGGGAATTGGAGCGATGATTGCTCAGCAGGTTGCTGCAACCTCAACAGTACGTTAATCGACCCTTTTACACATCAAAACTAACCACTTCTACAGGCAACCGCTTATGCCATGGAATGTTTCCCCGGAGTTGGGGGTGAAATTGTCGTGATCCTCGCCATCTGCAGCTCCATCATCAACTTCATCATCTCCGAGACTACACAACCGTTCTATGAAGCCACCGGGCCCGGCTGGCTCTTTCTCTTCTACGGAATCTGTGTGATCATCTCACTAGCAGCTGGAATGGCCGTCTACGTGTGGGGCAAGAAATGGCGGAGGAAATGTGCCCCGAAATACTACAAGTTCCTCCAGGAGCGAGGAGGAAACATCTAACCTGTCATATATATACCCAGCTAGATACTACAACCCGAAACACGTGAATTAAATTGCCTTGCTTCTATCTGTCACCAAAATAAACCCACACAACTACCTCCAACAATCCCTCCAACCTAACCATCCCTCTCACCAACAACCACCTCCCCATCCTCTCCATCCCAACCACCACCTTCCTAAGCGCAGCCCCCCCCCCCCCCCCCCCCCCCAAACCGGCACATGATCACGTTGCGTAATTAGACATTCTACCAAGGAGACATAGCAGGAACAGCTCCGACGGATTATGCCTGAACACCACCCTGTCCTATAACACAGCTAGGGCTTCCAGATTAGATATTTCTGCTTGTGTGGAGAAGGAAGATGGTGATTGAGCTTGCGGGGATGGAGGGTATGTTTATAAACTATTTGGGGAGAATTGGTCACTGTGATTGTTTGCATGGGGTGTATGTTGTGTTTTGCTAGATAAATAGATGATGTTCTGGACAGTGTATTTATTGGTTGGAGACTTTTTTGCATATAGATGAAGAGATCAATCTGGCCCATTTTTCTGAGGTTTGGGATTGATGAATAGTAGATTATTTCCAGTGTAGTACTGGCTGTTACTGCCTCCATCTTAACTAGCAAGTATCGGATTTCTGGATCTACTGTTAGTAATAGTCGAACAAAGGGGGAAAATATCTGAACCAGCAAGTAGTAATATTACAGCCTATCAACGCATACTATGACCATGACATGACTGATTGGATACAAGAACCGCTGGACGAGATACATGACAATAGAAATATGAGACTTAGAAGCCAGCACAGCATGCATGTACACAGGGAATAGTCACGCTCACGCCAGCAACAACATAAGACAGTCTTAATGTAGTGACAGTGTTAGAATGCACAGTATGGACGCCGATATCAATGTCACAGGTAGCACATAACAGGAGAGAAAATAACAATTAGAAGACACGACATATGAAAGAAAGGTAAATGATAGAATAAACCGAGATAAAGCACCCCCTTCATATCTTCCTTTACATGGCCAGCGCACTAATACCTCAATTCAGAGACGACACCAATTCTTCAGGTAGACTTTCTCTTCTTGTATGTCCGCTTTGGCTTCTCGGCCGGCTCAGGCTCAGCTTCACCCTCATCGTCAGCAACGGGGGCTTGCTTCTTCTTTGTCGCGGGTCTGCCCCTGGTGGGACGAGTAGCAGCGGGCTCCTCAGCGGCAGGAGCAGCAGCAGCAGCTTTGCCACGTTTGCCCTTCGTGGCGGCTGGCTTCTTATTCGTTTCGACAAGAGGAGCATCAGACTCTTCATCCTCGACAGGTGCTTGTTTGGAGGCAGCACTGTTCTTACGGGGCTTCTTAGTCTTGGGCGTTTCTTTAGCTTCATCAGCGTCGGCCTCGGCTCCAGCTTTAGTACGCTTCTTGGTCTGGGGAGTAGCCTTCTTGGTCTTAGGCGTCTCTTTAGTAGCCTCTTCTTCAGCGTCAGACTCGGCTTCCTTCTTAGGCTCAGCACGAGCACGCTTCTTGGTCTGGGGAGTGGCCTTCTTAGTCTTGGGCTTCTCTTTGGTGTCCTCTGCCTCGGCTTCAGAGCCGGATTCCTCCTTGGGTTCAGCGCGAGCGCGCTTCTTACTCTGAGGAGTGGCCTTCTTGGGAGTGGATTCTTCCGCGGTTTCGTCCTGGGCAGATTAGCATCGATGAAGCTGTATTCTTTGGAACAGAAGGACATACATTATCCTTCTTAGTCACACGCTTCCGGAATCCCGTCTTTCCAGGCCGATTGAGTTCGACATCCTGGGACACAAGTCAGACCTTCACAGATCGAAAAGATGATATTAAGTGCAAACATGATGAAATATAACAAATGCAGTCAATGAACTTACCCCCTTCCAGTCCTCATCGTCGACATGGCCCTGCTCTATCGCCCTGCGAACCTTCTCCTGCAGATCCTCAGGGAGCTCGTCGTAGCCATCCAAGGCTGACCAGTCTCTCTCGCCCTCTTCACCAACCGTTTCGACCATGTTAGCAATGATCTTGGGGGTGACGCAGCCCCTGTTAAAAGCATTAGCGAGGCGTTTCTTTCTTTCGCAGTTAAGATTTACGAGACTTACCAGTGACGCCAGAAGTAGCTCTGAAAGCGTTCGGTATCAACCCAAGAGCCATGGCGCAACTCGCCCTTTAGGATTTTGATACCCTGGTCTTTACATTCTTTGTTTTTGCAACCAGCGCGGCCGGTTGAGGCTTGCTCTGTGTAGATGGTTAGATTTTGAGCGAGATGTAAACTCAGTCAAAAATGCTATTCAAAACCAAATAACATGCCTGAACCAAGCAACACAAAAATCGTTCATGACTTGGCTGATAGTGACAGTTGGCAGTTACGTTGGACAACAAACGCACCCCCATCCCATCCCAGTAAAGCAAGTTGACAACAAATCCATGAGGAAAAGTAAACAGTAAAGCCAACTTTCAATATTGAGGCAGCGAAAAACTCATCTTTGATAGATGCAAGGAGAGTAGTGAACGAAAATAATAACTTACCGAGACGATAGGCACCCATATTCAAAAGCACCACGGGGAGCAGAGAAGGCTGGTGATACTGCGTGCGGGAAAGTTAAGTTTGCGTGCTGAGAGGGAACCAAGATTTATGGGTGCGATCGCGCCCGGGGTTGAAGGGTGTAGTGTTTATAACTTTGTGATACCACCGACCCAACAGAGAAGAGACAACACAGAAAAGATGGAAATGGCGAAAGGGAAAGATGGAAAATGAGATGGGGATAAATAGAGAAAAGCGAGGGGAGAAGGAAGAAGGAGGGAGGACAGAGAAGAGCGCAAGAAGAGCGAAGGTCTGGCGCTGCTGCCAACGGAACACGCCAAAGACCAATGCCGCAGTGCTGCTTTTGCTTTCTCCTGCCATGATCATTTCTGCTTGTCTCCTACGAATTTTATTGTCGGATCCTTGCTTGCTGCTAATCAATAATTCATCAAAAAAATATAATACTCATCAATCAACAATCTTTTTGTATTTTTAGGCTAATGCCGTGATGGTCGTTTAAGCGCCTGATTTGTGGATAAATACTAGCTATAGTTCAGTCCTACTAGCAGAGTTCCAGTCAAGGATACCGTTATACTGAACCTCAACTCTTTCTAAGTTTATCAAGTGGTGCATAATTGTAGCATAGATCTTAGTGATTTCGACCCAACTATTAGAATGCTTTCTTACCACTCACCCCCCAAAGATTCCGTCAAAGTGAGCTAATGCAACATAGACTTGATCGATAATAAAGACGAATGAGTCTCATGAACCATCAACAACATAAAAGAAGCATTGTAGCTGTCTACAGCATAAATATCCAACGTTAAGGCTTTTGTTTGGCAGTCGCATCTACTTCCAAAGCCTCAAGTTCTGTAACATACTTTCGCAGCATGACCACAGCCCCCAGGCTAAGACGCGAGACAAACGCCGAGGCACTGCGCTCCTCTCCACTGCCTGTATGCTCGTAATGCTTCATCATCGCCAACGCCGTATCGATAGCGCGACGGAGCAGGAGTGGCCTGCTGTAGTCTTCCGATTTCAAGCGACTAGGCAAATAGTTCCAAGCCACAATGTCCTCCATGCCACTTACTTGATGATCTAGGGCATACTTGATATATCTGCGTGTAGTCAAGAACGTCTTTTCCGTATACTTGTCTGAGTCGACTCGCCTACCGCCCTCCGCAGCAAAAACTTCATACCCGGCCTCATCTGTACACGATTAGTCCAATATTGGAGTTGTACACATAGCCCAAGATATCGACTTACTGTAGAAGGGGCTTTGCACCAGGACTAATCCCATAATCGAGACCAGAACCTGTAGAACAGTGGACTTGGTTGCTGACCACATTTCCTCCGGGTTCTGAGTGGGCCATGTTCCTAGAATGCTCAGGCAGATTTTACCATCTTCGTAGAGATTGGGATTGATCCTTCCTTGGCCGCTATTCCACGAGTGAAAGAATGCCTCAGGTGGCTTTCTAGGAAAGTCCCCTGGGAAATGGAAGTCTATCACGATCGGTGCATATTCGTATGGGGTCCCCTCCGGCCCAATGAACAAAACCCTGAGCAGGTCCATCCTTGACTCCCATGCTCGCACAAAAATCCCGGGGGGAAGCGATTCGCCGAGTATGTCATATTCTTTCTGGATTCGCTTGGTGTGTAGGTCGAGCCCCCCGCCTCGTTTCTTGAGATGAAATGATGATCCGAGGGAGGGGCGCCTTCCAATACGGTGAACCCTGGAGGCAATGTCATTTCCTCACTCTGTTCAACTATTCCATCCGAAGCATCTCTTATATCAAAGCTGGAGTCATTCTTCGTCTTCATGTCTGCATCTTCGGAGTAGCCGTCATCTGCAGAACCATAATTGACGTATCGATATACAGCGCATTTAATCTTCGACATATCTTCAACATCACTACCTGAGATGGCTTCCTCCTCTTCCTCCTCATCATTACCTGAAATCCAATCTTCATCATCATCATCATCAAGTAAAATACCTTCTTCACCATTAGCATATCGGCGTAGGGCTTCCTGGAGCGTCGTCTCCGACATATCCTCATCATCATCACTTGAGATCCCTCCTTCAACATCAAAAAGTAAAGGCCCCTCCTCATCACCATCTCCTGAACCCCCTTCTTTATATGCATGAGCTGAGTTCATTGACATCGTCGATAGATCACCTAGATCTGGAGCCCCAAGTGGAGTAATGAAGCCTCCATCCATGATCATCATAATCCTTTCAAACGGAATGCGGACGTCGCGACAAGTACCAGCCAGCCGAACAGTAATCTCACCATTGGCATCAATCGCAATGATCTGACCGACGAAGTCTGCAGTGGATCTTTCACTGAGCTTACGCTGATAGTGGTGACTATGTCTCGGAGGCAGAGGAGAGGTGTCAACTGTAGTCGTACTTTTGAACCATTCCCAATGAACCATGGCGAGACTCATATCCTTGAGATATGAGTGCATTTGCGAAAGTGACAATGACGATGTATAACTAAATGTGCAAGGCCCAGCGACGTTGTATGCACTCAGTGATCCTTCTGTCAAGACCGAGGTATGGATGGTGTCTGGGGCGAGAAGTACAATATTACCATGTGATCTTTCCAGACAAGGAAACACATCAAGCTCGTACAGAGATACTTGGCTGATTGTATCACCCAGCTCTCCCAGCTTAGAGTAGAGAGAAGCTAGGATCTGCCCGCCATGCAAGAGTATAAGATAAGGATCCTTATACCACCGGACGGTAACTATTCGCTCTCGAATGTTAACAGCTTGGACAACACCTACTGTTCTTGCTCGGATTTTTGATTCCCTGTGTCTTCTATGACTAGGCAGTTCCCGGATATATGCAGGTGTGGATTCCAAGCCGGGCCAATTCATGGTCTCAATCCCATCCTTCAGGACGACGATGCTCCCGGGCCATATATTTTCATCAAGTCCGGGGTCCCAACGAAGACATTTTATATCTTCGGTGGTGACACTCCCGTCCAACCATCTGACAGTCAGTGCTGTCTTTCTTGACGTAATATGAAACATGTTCATATCATATCCAAAAGTCTCTTCAGGAGGAATATGTTGGTAAGAGTATTTTTGGAAGGCACTTTTCGGATCTCGAAAACGTATCATATCACTGATTTGAAGTGAGGTGGCCGATTTAACTGTTCCCCCAGTCGAAAGATTTTCGAAGTCACATATCACAGCATCGCGTTCCAAGACAGATGCTCTTAGAGTCTCTATTCCATTCGGGATCTCACATGTTCCGAGACCGAACACGTTCGTACAAAGCCATTCAACCTTATACTCCGTAGCTGGCGTGGACAGGACATGGCCGTGGGCAAAGGAATGGGGATCTTCCTTCGGAACTATACCCCCGTTTATCCCGCGCATATTCTTGTATTTCGTGCACACATACTGACCAGGAATCACGTAGTCCTGCTCCATGTATCGCAAGTTAGTGTCCACAACCCTACATGGCTGGCCCTTGGGCATCCAGATGAGCTCATTGTCATCGAAAGGGCAAGGGACTTCAAGAGCTTTGGGATCAACAAGCGAGACAGGCAAGTTGGAAACGCGCAGAATAGCATCCCGGTCAACCTGCCGAATGATTCCCAGCTTCTGACGGTAAATGATCAAGTCATCGTTCATGAACGGCTCATGATGCATGAGCTCAGATAAAGGCACATCATGTATTGGCAAAGGACGCGAAGAATCGGCCCCGGGTCTTCTGCGGCTGCAAGGAATGAGCCATTCGTTGAACTCGACGGAGCCATATTCGCCCAACGACTCGTCATATTTACGATACGCGATCGGCTCGAGTGTGCATGTAGCGGATGCTCCGATGACCGTGCCACACATTGTGTCGTCCGCATTTCTTTTGACATAGCTACCGAAGTTGATGTACCGATCGAGGAGTTCGAGATCATCCTCGTGGATGAGAGAACACCCTTGCGAAACCCATTTGAACTGAACAATGACATATCCTTTGCGTGGCTATTACAGAAGATGAGTTTAGTGGACAGTATCTCAGGCTAATGGTACCTGATGACCTACCACACCGGTTTGTAAGTACTCAGTCAGGACGTCTTGTGGCACTGATGTATATGAGACCATTAAATCATCTTCCGGTGGTCCCAACGGATACACCTTGGGCATGCCGTGTCAGTCTATTCGAGCTATTGTTCCATTGATGTTATCGGCCGTAGAAGACACGTACATCTAGATATGTTCTCTAAGCTTGTCAATTAGCAAATTAAAACTCCCATGCTTCAATATTATCAACGGGAGTCATACTACAACAATACCTGTTAATGATGGATTCGACTTCAAACAACAGACATCGTTGAGATCAAACTATGAATTATTAGGGCGTCCGGGCTGGTAATGGAGTCTTCGTAGCCCACTCATTGCTGACCTTGGAAGTACGTGAAGTCCCCGGATTCGGGGCGTTGGGGACGCCACTCGTATTCATGCTGGCGGGGTAGAAGGTAGGAAGTAAGATATGATGGAGATGTACGCAGCTCCAAGCGAGTTTTGAAGGCACATACTCATACAAGTAATTAGACGATGGATATTAACTAGAGCACGCAATACGAGCCGAAGAAAAGAGAGGGATGTCTGAGGGGAAGGTGGGAGATCCCGGAGGATGATAACAATACTGGGAAGAAGCACAGCCAGGGTCTGTCATGTGCCACGGCCTGATGCAGAGGCCGATAGAATTATAAGTACTTCAACTTGATAGGATATAGATAGTTCGAGAGACTAATAACCACTTTTATATGATCTTCAAAAAAACCTCGGAGCAATATATTCTCCTTATGACCAAGATGGGCGACCCGACAGGCTACTCCTCACATGTCCAAGTTAGTGTATACATCTAAGTTCCCGACTGGGAAAGTAATCGGCGTTCATGCTGATGGAACCAGCCCGCGATCCAATCCCGGCCAATCGATCGATAAGAGTAACCCCAACGGCGCGTCTCACCGCCCAGGCTTCACCCCGGCAATTGCTATTCTCGAGCTAGACTACTACTGGCTCCTCATACAAAACTACAAACACTCTCACATCAGCCTCCTCTCTAGACCAAGAGGCCCACCAATCTCTCCTATACAAGCGCAGCCAATCTACCCTCCCACTCCATTATCTATACAAACAACCGCATCCAAAATGTCCGAACCAGGTCCCGAATCAATCCCTACCAGCGCAGACCCGCGCAGCAAACGTCCCACCAAACGCCGCGCCGTAACAGCACTCGACGAACACGCCACGCAAATCGAGTCTCTATTCCGCGACCCCACAAAAGAAATAAAGCTTCCCGACCCCTCCAAGCAACGAACCTCGACATCGCTACCACCGCCGCCAGAGATTGTCGCCAACGTCCAGGGTTCCTCTGCTGGTGCGGGGTCGGGCGAGTTCCATGTCTACAAAGCGAGTCGGCGGAGGGAGTACGAGCGGCAGCGGCTGATGCAGAGCGAGGTCGACAAGGAGAAGGAGGATAAGGAGTGGGAGCAGAAGCGGGAGGAAGCGCGGAGGAAGGATGAAGAGAAGACGGAGAAGAATCGGAAGAAGAGGGAGAAGAGGAATGCGAAGAAGGGGAAGAAGGGTGGCAGTGGGGGTGGTGCGTCGAATGGAGGGGATAAGATGGCTGTTGATGAGACGGGAAAGAAGGTCGGGGGTGGTGCTGATGGGGATAAAAAGGACGGAACTGAGAGTGGGGATGGGAATGGTCATGAGGAGGTTGCTGAGGTGCCCGGAGTGATCATTCATGATGACTGAATGGAGAAGGGGTTGTAGTATATACGGGCTACGAAGGAACCGGGGCCTACGGAGGCTAGAGATTGTACGATATGAAGATACCCATTGTAATTTTTGGTCTAGGATATTCATACAAGAAGTCCAAATGGTAATCGTGCAGCATTATGTACGCAGTTTTATTTCGGTTCGTCTTAATTGATTTAATCATCTCCACCACCGACACCGAGACCGGCACCGGCCTGCTGAGCAGACTTGCCACTGCAGATATCGTCGACACGGAGGAGCAAGCATGCGGACTAGAGAGACAGTCAGTTTGAGTGGGAATAGAGCAGGATGTGCTTGTGCTTACCTCGACAGCGGTCTTGATGCTCTGAAGCTTAACCGCCTCGGGCTCCCAGACGCCATACTCCTTCATGTCCACCAAGGCACCGGAGTCACCGTCCAGACCCCATGTGGTCTGGCCCTCAACGTGCTTGGCCCTCATGCGGGTGAGGACACGGATAGGGCTGGCACCGGCGTTCTGTGCCAATGTTCTGGGGATAACCTCCATAGCATCGGCAACAGCCTTGTAGGGCCATTGCTGGACACCCTCAATGGACTTGGCCAACTGGCTCAATCTGACAGACACAGCCATTTCAATGGCACCACCACCGGGGGAAAGACGGGGGTGGAAGATGACGTTCCGGGCAACGGCCATGGCGTCCTGGAGGTTCCGCTCGATCTCGTTGATGATGTCCTTGGAGGGGCCGCGGAGAAGGATAGTGCAAGCCTTGGGGTTCTGGCACTTTCTGAGGAAGGTGAAGTACTCGTCGCCAATCTTCTCGATCTCGAAAAGTCCGCACTGAGTTCCAATGTCGGACTCCTGGAGGTCGTCGACACGGTTCACGATGGTCGCACCCGTGGCTCTGGCGATACGGTTGTTATCGGTCTTTCTCACACGGCGGAGGGCAGTGATGTTGGCCTTCACCAGGTAGTGCTGGGCAAGGTCTGGAAAGTGTCAGCAAATCGAATGCCTGCAAATAGAAGTTCAATCCATACCTGAAACACCCTTCTCCGTAATGACAACGTCAGGCTTGAGGGCGATGATAGCATCGCACATGGCCTTAACCTGTTCCTCCTCAATCTGCAGGATACGGTTCCAGTCGTCCTCCTTGGTGATCTCAATGTTCGTCTGCGATTCACCCTTCTTGTATTCCAACGGGCAGTCGAGCAGCAGAACACGGGGGTTCTCTATCCTCCTCCGCATCTTGGGGTGGGTGATGTCCTTGTTGACCATGACACCGTCGATAACCTCACTGTCCTCAATCTGACCACCGGGAATCTTCTCGACACGAGCGTACCGCTTGATGTCGACCTCCCGCTTTCCACCACCAGCATCGAAAGACACGGTCCGGACAGCCTTCAGGGCGAGGCTGCACATGAGCTCCGACCACCGGGAAACGAACTTCGTGCCGATGGACGACTGAATGAGGGTGTACATAGCCTTGTCGTCATCAATATCCACAGGTATCGAAACTTCCTCCACAATGGCAAGGGCGTCGGCCAGAGCACGCTTGAAAGCCGAGATGATGACAACGGGGTGAATGTTACGTTCGAGCTGGGGGAGGGCCTGAGCGAGCATCTCACCAGCTAGTACAAGTTAGCGAGTCATCCGGTGGGAGAATATGATGTCCATCGTGCGATAGGCACAAATCATCCAGCACATACCCAGAATAATAACAGTTGTTGTTCCATCACCAACTTCCTCGTCCTGGGTCCGACTCAACTCGATCATGCTCTTCGCAGCGGGGTGCGACACCTCGATTTCTCTGAGGATAGCGTGTCCATCGTTCGTCAAAACAATACCGCCCATGGGGTCAAGAAGCATCTTCAGCATAGCCTTAGGTCCCAGACATGACCGAATAATATCCGCGACACTGTAATGCCAGGCCCCGTGTCAGAAGTGCCGGAAGCGGGGAAGAGTGGGAGGGGATCAATCACGTACGTCTTCGCAGCAGCGATATTAGACAGCTGGGCTTTACGACCAACCTGTCTCTCACCAGCATTGGTGTCTAAAGAACCATGTTAGCAATCAGAAGCCAAGTCCCGGGCGGTCCCCCTCGATTGGGACATACTCATCACCACCACCGGTGCTTGCATGATGGCGGTGGTTTGTTGACTTGCGTCGGAGAAGGAAGAGAGAAATTCAAACGGTCCCTAGGAAATGATGGAGTAAACTCCGGAGCCGATCGACAAGCGGTCAAAGATAGGGGCCTTTTTGCTCGTGGAGGGGAACTGGAGATGTTTTGTTGCCCGCCGTCCCCATCAAATTTCCAGCGCACCTTTCGAAGTGGGATTGCGGACAAGAAGAGCTCACCGCCACCATTCTGCTTTGGGTCTAGTGCTATCCTTTTCCCCCTGATCTATCTACGGAGAGCATCATCGCATGCCATGGAATCGAATAGTTCGCGCCCTTTCTTCCTTTGGGTCTTATAGAGTAATCCATATCATTCAAAAAATAAAAAGCTCATCTTGCACAGTTGCTTCATAACGCCCGCTATCCAGGTATTCCCTTTGCCCCGTATCGCCAAACTCCTAAGAAAACAAACCCAAACTTTTCCCCAAATGTTCAAGTGATTCAACGACACAAACCCGACGTTGGGGAATCAGATCACTTCTTCAGGAGCTTGCTTAGCTTCTGAACACTCTTGCGTACCCGAAAACGCACATGAGCCCGCATATGCGTAATAAGAGACAAATATCTCTTCCGAGGCTTCGAAGAGACCTTTCCGACCTCCTGCTTCTGGTCTCTGCTACCATGTGAACCAGAGTCGGATAGGCGGAATCCAAACTCATTGACCCCCAGTCCATGCAGACTGCATACACGTGTGCTGCCTGTCGAATAAGCGTTAAAACTATTTTCACCCGAAGTCGCATGATCAAAGTGCCAGGTTCTCCGATCATAGTGCTGTCTGTTGCCAGTCAACTGTCGTGGAACCAGAGGCCAGGTAGTGTCGTCTGGTTCGCCGTCAAGCTGCACCGACTGGCGCCATTCGTGGACTTCATTCATCTCTTGGTCTGCTGAGAGTCGCGCCATCATGTTCTTGAACCAGGTTTGCGCGTAGGGATTAGGGTGTACAGGTCTGGGGTCAAGCCCGGAATCCGGACCCCGGTCGTGCAGTAGTTTGCGTATTCGTTCCAGCTGTATTTGACGCATGTTGTGTTGGAGGTGCAGTGGTAGTTGTGCTAGGGCGACTTCGTCGAGTTCGTAGAGTACTTCCTCTTCGTCGTCCATGGAGCGTCTGCGCTCTTGTGGTTCCCATACGTGATTGCTCGTCCAGGTGTCTGAACTGCTTCGCCAGAAATAACTGGCATCTTGTGGGCTTTGCTGCATTATGGTAGCCATGATGGTTTTAGTTGTTTGCTGACGTGGTGAGAGCACGCGCTGGAGATGGGGTTTTGGTCGGGGAAATGAGAGGCTGAGCAGTTGGTGAGATGGGGCCAAAAATATATGTACGTGATGGATGAATTCAGTGAGGTAGACAGAGGCGACCGAGCTGATGAAACCTTCAGTCATTCAGCGAAATTGAGACGAATATGGCTCCTATGGACGTCGATTCAGTTTTCGGGAAGCGGATCATTCCCATGTCACCTTTACTGCTAAACGGGTCATTGCTTCCAGTAGCTTTTTAAAGAACAGCTGCAATTGGTCATCTGGTCTGGGGGTACGATCATATTTGTTTGCCAGGACTAGTAATAGAATAAGGGAAACGCCGTATGCACCTTGAACGCGTTGTTGGTGCAGGGTCATTCACTGGCACGCTCCGTAAATAGGCCCGTGCCATCACATGGGTCAGAGCCTCTTTTTGAAGCCTTGCACTCGATAGGAGCATTGAATATTTCGGAGGGTTGATCTAAAGACTCATCACATGTATAAAAAAAGACGGTGAGGGGAATAAAGATTTGTATGGATTATAGAGTTGTGAGCGTCTATCCGGGTGCACGCACAATGATCAACATGCAGCTATCGTACAGCAATATTAAAGTAAGTATAATAAGTACCCCAAACTTTCCCAGGCGCACATGACCATTAGAATTCCCGACTTTCGCCGATGTCACAAACGTCAAATGCCCCGACCTCTGGATAGCCATACTTGGTGAGCGCCTCCTTCAATTTCTTTGGTGGCTCAAGGACATCTTCATCTGTCAAGACCCAAGTTCCCCAATGAATAGCCATGGCTCTCTTGCATTTGGTATCCCGGAAAATTTGCACTGCATCATCAGGGTCCGCATGCATAGGGCTCATGAACCATCTGGGTGAGTAGGCGCCAATCGGGATCAATCCGAGGTCAAAAGGCCCCCGGAATTGACCAATTTGTTTAAATGCGGGACATGAGGGGAAATCGTACTCCGGAGCATGATCATCGGTACCGGCAGGAAGCATTGGCACATTCCGATATCCTGTGTCTCTATATGACAATCTTGGTTAGATTTTTAAGGCATATACTCAGCAGTTATACATACCCTGCAAACCACAGCTTCCGACCTCCGGCTTCGATGCCCCACGACGCCCACAGGGTCTTTGATCGATCAAACACACCCCGATTGCTTGTATGCTGCGAAGGCAAGCAGCTGATGCGAGCTGTGATGTTAGACTGGGTTGAACTCTGGCCCTCACCGGCACCGGCCTCGGTGACTGATCCATGCGAGGGTGAAAGAACAATGTCTCGCTCGTCCCACCAATCGAGCTCAGTCATTTTGTCTATCCCGATGCTGCTGAACCATGCTTTATTGCCAAGGGGTGCAAAGAAGTGACAGTTGGGATGGCGTCGCGAGATTTCCATGACAGTTGGATGAGAGAGATGATCGTAATGGTTGTGGGAGATTACAACCGCATCGATAATCGGGATGTCCTCGATGCGGCATGGCATCTCTGTAAAGCGCTTTGGGCCCATGAAGGAGAACGGAGAGCAACGGTCCTCGAATACCGGGTCGAACAGAACTCGTAAGCCATTGGGAAATTCGACGTAGTAACAGGCATGGCCAAGCCATGTCGCCCGCAGACCAGCTGTTTCCCGATCAGGCAGAAACTTGGGCTTCTGAACAGGCACTGTAGGGGGCGTGACGTCCGGAAACTTGATTTTCCCCGTTATGATGCCCCTTCAATGCAGATGTCAGGATTGTATACTAAACATCTAGGAGAGGACTTGCAACTTACCCCCACATGCGAAGAGCATTACCAACTGTCGGAGATTGCCATGAGCTGCAGAAATGCATTAGTAACAAGACACTATCATTTTTGGCGATAGCTACAAATGACATACTCCCAGGGGTTTTGAAAGCCATTTTTGAGATGGTGAGCTTTCTCCTTGACATCCTCAGGTCCCTCAGAGGCCGGGGAGAGAACAACGGCTAGGGAGTAGAGGGCTGCCGACGTTGAAGCTGCGGAAGTAGCTTTGCTCATGTTGCGTCTCTGTGGGGATGATAATCTAGGTGCAGAAGTGCTGCCCTGTCGGAAACAAGAGACGCCTCGCAGGAATGCTCGCATTGTCTTCAAGAATCGAGGGGCGGGGAAGGTTTTATACGAAGCTTGGTGGCGGCTGCCTTGTCAATGAAGATAAATGGGTACTTCCGCCCATAGATCTCAAAGAATATGATAACTTAACATGCTTTAGCCCATGTCAGACTTTGTTTCAACGCAGTCACCCTTTTGGTCAATATAAATGAGGGACGGGGATGACTGGTGTAAAGCCCGTTATCTCCGGGCCGGAGTGATGACATCCCCGATGTTCCGCCCATCTCGAAGTTATAGGTGGTTGTTGTTGTGGCATTTCATGAAGGCATCTATGGCTTAGTCTACATAGGTCTACGGACGCCTATTGTACGATAATCCAAGGGGTGATATTATTGGACTGGGATGCGTAGACAGCGCAGCCAGGGCCATCCCTTTTAGGGGTCTTAGCACTCAGTGACGGGAGGACTTCTCCATCTCCGATTGCCCCGTGAAACCCGGAGTCGATCTCGGCCCGTCATAACTCCGACTCCCCGACAGGAACAATTGCAGACATGTGCTCAAGGAATCAGACAACTGTAGGTGGCGGTGCATGATTGTTCTTCTGTTGGCATGGACCCCAATGGACCATCAAGTACTCCAGGGCTGCCTTCGCCTGGCGATCTGATTGCGCAGCAACGGAAAGATGCCATCCAAGCAGCGGGGCAGCCTACAGGCGACGGAGGCCTTCTCTCTCAGCTAACCAACAATCCTTTCTTCACCGCAGTAAGTTCGAGCCATGTCTGCTGCAAAGCCCAATCGCTAACAGGTAGTTTTACTCCATAGGGATTTGGTCTTGCCGGTCTGGGAGCCGGAGTCAGTCTCGCACAAAAAGGCTTCCGCCATGGCGCCGCACTCCTCCGTCGGCGCATGCTTGTCGACGTCGAAATCAGCATCAAGGACGACTCTTACCCGTGGTTCCTTCACTGGATGACACTATACCAACAATCGCAGCTTAATACGGCCCGCTCCGCTGCCAGCAGGTCTGGTTTCATGGAGTCCATACTACAGAGGCTGACCCCCGGGATGCGCCACCTCTCGATTCAAACGCAAAAAGTCGAGCACAGCAATGGGGCGATACATACACATTTCGCGCTGGTACCTGGACCCGGAAGGCATGTTTTGCGCTACAAGAACGCGTTCATCTTCGTCAACCGGATGCGAGAGTCCAAGTCCCAGGACCTACACACGGGCCGTCCGTGGGAGACCATCACTCTGACCACGCTTTATTCGCATCGACATGTGTTCGAAGACCTCTTCACTGAAGCGCATGCGTATGCGGCCAAATCTCACGAAGGCAAGACATCCATCTACAACAGCTGGGGCACCGAATGGAAGCTTTTTGGACAGCCGCGCCGGAAGCGTCCGTTGGAATCGGTGATCCTCGACGAAGGAGTCAAAGAGCGAATTGTGGAGGATGTACAGGACTTTGTGGGCAGTGGCAAATGGTATCACGACCGAGGTATCCCCTACCGCCGTGGTTATCTCCTCTACGGGCCCCCGGGAACGGGTAAGAGTTCGTTCATCCAAGCCTTGGCGGGCGAATTGGACTACGACATTGCTATTTTGAACCTCAGCGAACGGGGACTGACGGATGATCGGCTGAATCACCTTCTGACGATTGTTCCGAACCGAACCCTGGTTTTGCTCGAGGATGTAGATGCTGCGTTCTCGAATCGCCGGACTCAAACGGACGAGGATGGTTACCGTGGAGCCAATGTTACATTCTCGGGTCTTCTGAATGCTCTGGATGGCGTTGCAAGCGCCGAGGAACGGATTATCTTCCTCACCACCAACCACGTTGAACGGCTTGACGAGGCGCTAGTCCGACCGGGTCGCGTGGACATGACAGTGCGTTTGGGCGAAGTGACTCGCTATCAAGTCGGCTGCCTCTGGGACCGGTTCTACGGAGAGCTTGACCCGAGTGGTACCAATCGACAGGTCTTCCTCGATCGGCTACAGGAATTAGGGCTGATCGAGGACGAGAACGGCTTCAAGGCTGATCGGACGAAGAGCACCAGCGCTGCTGCTTTGCAGGGCTTGTTCCTGTACAACAAGGGCAATATGGAGGGAGCGATTGCTATGGCCGAGGGGTTGACATTCCGTGTTCATGATGAGGGTATGTAGTATGAGCAATTAGACTGTATGATAGACTGTGCCATGTATATTAGTTGAGTGCCAGTATATGTGAAATATGGCCAATGAATTAGCATTACAAATTCTACTCAATATGTTGTGAGCGTTTATGGGAGTCAATCTCCCTGTTATCTCTATATCGTTGGGGCTGTTCCCTTTTCGGTAACCGACTGTGCTTCACCGATAGGTGATGTTTCGAGTAAACAGAGAAATAGAGCTCATCACCTTTCGTCACCGTACCCCGCGACCACTAACCAGTCACAGTTACTGATTATTAGCTTCAGCGCTTCCCTATGCCGAATCATGATCGTTGGTATGGTCCGAAGCGCCGAGCTGAGTCCAGCCACATCGTGCCCGCTGTCCGATCCAGCGAGATGTCGAGGCTAAGCGCCGACCCAAGCAATCAGGTTTCTTCCTCTACAGTGCATATTCTTCACGCTACTGCAGCCTCTCTTGTTCGGACCCTTGCCGCCGTCGATGCACTATGCTTTGATCATTCTGGATAGATCGGGGTCCGTGCCTGCCAGCTTGGCTTGATGTTGGTGGGCGTCTATACAGGTGAGCTTATATATACACAGTATACCACCGTTGTTTCAAGGCTAAACCGAAGCACTCTTGACTTTTCCTTTCCTTTCTTAATTGATTAATAGATTTTAGCCTCAAGCACACTTTTATTTATTTTTCCAAGACTGAGAAGCAAGTCTATCACCATGAGTCAGTTCCAACTCTTCCCATCACCCTCGGATAGCAGACCATCGAAGGAATTGCCAAGAGCCCCGAAAAAGCCAGCCATAAAGACATATACAGAGATGCGACCTATGGAGGAGATACGTGACAAGAGTAGTCCTACAGAAGCTGTGATCTTCAAACTTATTCAGGATACCCATACTAGTATCAGACCGCCGCCAAAAGCCATGTCCAGGTCGAACACAGTATCCATTCCAGACACAATACGAGAGCGTGAGACGTCCAAATCTCCTCTGCGACATGACCGCCACAAGCGGCCGGCAGAGAGAGTTGGTTCTCCTTCACATTCGGTCAGATCTGCTTCACTCAAGAGCAGCTCACCCGCGGCAGCTCCGGTGGTGCCAATGAAATCTACATTCCCTCGATATAACTACGACCTTCCGATGAACCAGCAGCACTACTACCCGGAGCCTTCATTCAATTCTCACTGGGAACTACCCAGGTCTGAGACAGAGACACCACCTCCGGAGATAGATCGCGCCCTTGGACCCAAGACAGTTCCCGCCAGCGTGCTGAACTTTCCTGCCGGTGTTCTTGATCCAGTGGAGAGATATTCTACGCAGGAAGAGCTGCAGAGTCTATGGGAAATTGCTAACGGCCAACGCCCACAAAGCCTGCCTGGGACCTTTAATCTGTGTGTTGATCGGTATGTACGTTCCCTAAATTTACTATGGCAGATCTGACCCGTACAGGATCGACGCCAATACACTTTCGTTCGGAGACCCCAAATCACCGTTCTATACACTGCGAGCTACTTCAGCAAACGACATATCGATCATCCGAAAACACCCATCGAAGCAGGACAGCAGCGTCCCCGTAATGAACCTAAAACTCGAAGACAAATCTCGCCGCCAGCCTCCCTGCGATGGCCTGGTTTCAATCCTCTTCCCGCGCCTCGCCGCCATCCTAGCGATAGACCAAGCCACAGAGCTGGCAGAAGAACTCCACCTCTCCCCCATAGAGGCGACCAAAGCAGAAGGAGAAGCACTCAAGCGAGTAGCAGCTCAGGAATCCTGCAAATTGCTATGGAACCAATCGAAGCGAGTGTACGAGCTTCACCACCCCGCGCTGTGCAAGCAGCAGCCTCCCGCGCTGGTTGGTGCTGCTGGCATTCCTTTGTCGCCAGTACGCTCGAAGTATTCAGGCGTCCTACACATTACAGTTTCCAGTCTGTCCAAGGAGGGGGGATGCAGCCAACCACCCACCATTCTGGTTACTACCCCTCTGCCAACCAACGCCGTTGAGACGGGTGCCATGGCGGCTACGCCTCGCACATCCACGCTTCCACTGACAGATGCCGATGAGCCTTTGGCGTCGTTGGATCTGAGGACTATGACATTGTCGCTAGCTACGGGGTCGATTGTTTCGACCATACCGTCGTTGTATGCTGTTGACTGTCTCGTTTCTGCGCTACTGACTGTGGCGGTGTCTGATGAGTCTACAAGGCCTGTTCTTGAGGAACTCAAGCTGTATGACCAGGGGCTCTCGACTCCCCTTTTATCAAACCCTAGAGAGGAGATGATCACTACCCTAGCAGAGCGGGAAGACGCTAAAGAAGGTAGCCAGCTGTGGTCCAAGGTAACATCTCAGCCCAAATCTGATGGTCGAAAGTGGAAACAAGGGTCCAAGAAGCCAAAGGCCCAAAGATTCATAGTAGAAGAGTTCGACATGGACAAGTACGGGCGATACCAGGGCGGCTCACGGAAGGGCGAGGAGCTTCCGCGGATTACACGGGGATGCTTGCGGGTGTTGTTCTGGGGATTTAATGTGGTAGTGCACGGACTTGCGATGGTTGTCAAGGGGATTGCTTGGATGGTGGTGAACCTGACTCGATGTTGTGCCACTGATAGTCATATTTCGTAGGATGAGATGGATTATACACCTATGGTTTGAAGTAGATTGCATTCCTTGATGTCATGATACTCGCAGGGATTTTGTAGATGAAGTCAAGAGCCAAATTGTGATAAGAATTCCACTACCAGCCCCCGTCAAGCGTTAGTAGAAAGTTAATTCGAATAGATGCTGATCGGTAGAAGGGTATGGAAGATGCTGTTGGGTTTGTTGATCTCATCACAACAGGTTACTTATATCGCTAGTACTCTCTACTATCCACGCTCAATCTATACCCCCTTTCCCAACCCAAACTTCTTTAAACCCCATCAAACAGAACTCATACAATACAGAAGTCTAAATAATAATAATGATAATAATAACAGTAACACGAACCACCAAACACCAATAAATCGAAACATACCTCCCTCCCTCCCGTACCGTGTATCAAAAAAAAAAAAATATCAACATGATACATTCATACATACCCAACTCACATTCCAGACCAAACCTTCCACCACTCCATCGATCATTCGACACACAATTTTCCCCGATATCATTGCCTCAGGACTGGAATTCAAGGGATGTTGCCAGTTGCCACCCTTATACCTACCCACCTACTAAATAATTGATACTCCGTGCCTAATAAAATGTCTTAGATATATAGAGAGAGTATGAGACACGGGGTAACTTGACCTATCTCAACGACCAACAACCAGCGACCAACTCGACACCAAGAATACGACTACTGAAGAATAATAACGACAACATCAGGATGCATAAACTCCTCTTCTTATCCACCCTCTCCCTCGCTGCAGCTACATCTACCACTACTAATGGAGACTTGGGGTATTTGCAATGCGCGGTATGTATATTCCCATCACCATCACTTACCCATTCTCCCTCTTACTTATGTACATGGGACTAATACATGAATGAATGGACAATAGTCCTCCATCGCAGAAACCTACCCCCGCAGCGCAGATTGTACCTCCCCCTCGGTACTAGACTGCTTTTGCAATGCACCGTTTGATCCGTCCTCACTGGGTCGGAAGACTTTGGAGAGTTGTGCGAGTGAGGGTGTTTGTACGTCGAATCCCCCCCCTTTATATTCTATAATTATGCTAATTCAAGATGATGATAGCGCCATCCAACATCCCCGACTACGTATGCAGCGACACCGACGTCCCCATTGACGCTCGCAAGGGCAGTAGTCCCATGATGCGGGTTGATACAACCGGCTCTAGTGCCAGTACGGATGGCAATGGCAACGGTAATGGCAATAACAATGGCAATGGAAATGGCAACGGTAATGGCAACGGTAATGGCAACGGTAATGGCAACGGTAATGGTAACGGGAATGGAAACGGCAATGGAAATGGCAATGGCAACGGCAACGGCAACAGCGGCAACATATTCACACCCAAGCACTCAAACTACAAGGCCTCAAAGCGCGCATACGCACCATCCACCCCAGACCCCAACGCCGACGAGCCATCCGCGGACACCCCATCCAACCCCGACACAACGGACAACGACTCCTCAGAAGACCGCATCGAAGCGACCACCAAAACCAAAACCGAAACCAAGACCTCCGAAGCGCGCATCGAAGCACCGGCCACCATAACCGAGCATCACGGGGTGCACATGACAGACGCCACGAACCCAAACGTAGTATACAAGATGTACACGGAGACAGTGACGGACTGTGCGTGTGAGCATGCGGCCCCTACTGGCGATGCGCATGCCTCGGAGTTGAGAATGGAGAGTGGAACTGCTGCTGCTGCTCCTACTGGTACATCAGCAAGGCTGTTTGGAACGCAGGCGGCGGAGACGTCAGGGGCGGTGGTATCGTCGTCGTCGGTGGTGATGTCGATGCCTAGTGGGGTGGATGCGAGTCGGGTTGATGGGGTGAATAATGTGAATAATGGGACTGGGGCGTTGTTTGAGGGGGGTGCGAGTAGGGTAGGAGGAGGAGGGGGAGTTGGGGGATTGTTGATGGGGGTTGCGGTGGGGATTGTCGGTGTGGTTTTGGTTCTTTGATTTCTTTATTTCATGAATGTATTGGGGAAGATAGAGGGGGAAAGGGGTGGTGGATTATGTTATGAATATGAGTATGATATGTAGTATGATTTAGTGTAGTCACTCTTTATATCTGAATTGGAGCTGATACTATTAGAAACACGAAATCCTCACTGCTATTCATGCATGAATCGCCTGCTGCACCTTCGGATACAACTGCACCAACCGATAATACATCTCGGAATGATCATGCACCAGGACCTGCGGATCCCACGCCATAGCAGCAAAGATCGTTTCAATGCCACTACTCACCGGCGTCATAAAGATCTGACAGATCTGCAATCCAATGACAAACGCAAACGCCATAATGACCGCCGTGAAATCGCCTCCTTGGTTATACCCCGGGTTCGTGAACTGGAGGTACAGATATGCCAGTAGCGCACACACGTACGACACGAACACCGACCCCATCGTTATCACCGGCCCCACCAGACAATCATTGACCAGTGCATCCACGCCACGGTCCTTCATCATTTTCCACGTATCCTTGGCAGAGGGGATGTAGGCTTTTCCGTACAGGGCAATATGGCAGAAAGCGTAGCGGTTGAAGAACGTGACGAGCCAATCAAGCAAGGAGATGAAACAGCCCAGGACCCAGAACCCAATGCTGCCAATAATACTGCCTTGAGCGGCTTCCTGCTGCTGGGCGATGGAGCACGCCTGCCGGAGCATTTGGATCACGGCGAGGATGAGCGAGCCGAAGCTGATGCTGCCGAAAGAGTAGGTGGTGGCGCGCCGGAAGGCGCCGCGTGTTGCACCGTGCGGCATGCCCTGGGGTGAGTTGGCGAAGAAGTACCAGGAGCCGTAAACGCCTGCGATGGTGGTGTGCACGGTGTTCTTGAGCCATTCGCTAAACCAGTACATGGCGAAGGTGACGTAGACGACTAGACCGATAACGCGGGCGGTGCTGCAGCCGCCGGAGCCGTTGGAGCAGGCCGGGTTGACGCCGGTGCTGTCGGGCTCGTAGGCGACGTAGATGGAGACAAGCGTAACGGAGAACCAGGCGGCGAAGGCGACGGCCACTAAGCCGCCGATGGTGCTCACCAGGAACATGTGGCCGTATTGGCGCGAGACGTCGATGGAGACCTCCATCATGTAGGCTGTGAAGGGGATGCGGGGAATCCAGCTGATGAAGCAGACGATGGCGAAGACGCCGAAAATGAGGAAGACGATGCCGCCGCCATATTGTCCGCGGACGATGTAGTAGATGCCCGTGGCGAGGGCGAAGACGATGTTCAGGATGCCCGTGACCCAGATGAAGAGCTTGGAAAAGTACCGCGCACCGAGGAAGTAGGCATACGAGAAGGCGAGAGCCACGCAGAGGACGAAGATGAAGAGCACGAGGGTGTTGGTGTTGAGGGAAAAGTCGTTGGTTGCATCATAGATGCCGCCGCCACTGAAGCCTTTGTATTTCGCATAGCGATGGATAGTCACGCCGGACACGGCCACGTAGCCGAGGAAGACGGCGATGAACTGCCAGCAGTTTAGTGGTGAAGCTTTGTATAGAAGTATCGGGTTATCCTACTAAAAGTCCCGCCCAGATGTCATTGTATTTGGGTCGCTCGACTTGGAAAGCTTCGTCAAACCCATACACGGCTTGATTGTAGGTTGGTGGAGGTCCCTGAGGGGGTCCCTGAGGAGGTTTTGGTTCAGGTCCTCGATAATCGCCGCCATTGTGTTGGTTGGGTGCTGGCTGGGGAGCTTGGTTATAGTTGTAGTAGTCATATTGTTGTTGCTGCTGCGGTGGCTGAGGCTGAGGCTGATCGCCAAAGCTCTGGTTAGCGTTGTAATAGCTGGATGCCTGGCCACTCATGACTGCGTGTTGTGGATGCAGAAAAGGAGAGAATTCAGAGGTGAAAAACACCTCATTATCTGGAGTGAAAGTCAACGTCACAATCCGGGCAGGAGAGGGTTGCACTGCAGCTCGAGCGCGTCATCGAGGCGGGATCGACCGGCCGCTGTGTTGGCTTCCCACGGATCCTCAAACTTAATTCCTCTCCCTGAAGTTACCTCAAATGAGTGTAAATAATTGAAAAATTAGGAAATGTAATATGTGAATCAATGCCACTCATATCTAAGCTAATATGCAGTATGTACATGTAACATCGTCAGGCATGTCGTCAGTCCATCCGGCCTGCGCCCTGAAACCCGCGAGTCTATTAGGATTAAAGAGGTCGCAGAGTACAAATAGATAGTCCGGACCAGGTAAACGGCGGACTGACCGGTTCAAATACAATAAAGCTGCTTGGGGGTATCAATAAAAGCCAACCATCACTCCTCAGCTCCTACCGAAATGCATGGTTCCGCATGTGTCGCCACGAATCCCCGATCTTGCGCTCGATGCCTGGGATAGGTGTTCGCGATCGTCCTGGCCACTCGTCTGTCGCTGCCTGGATCTGCCCTTTGTTCCACGCCCGCGACCGCCGCATGTTCTCGTGTCGAACTGCTGCCCGTCGCGCGGCGCGCAGCTCGTCAATGCGGCCTTGTCCAACCCGATGTCGTCGCACGAAACAGTCGTCCATCAGAGTATTGGCGTCCAGCAGCTTCTTCGGCACTGTCTGCACCACCTGGAATACCTCCATTGGATCCGACACTGCCATGATCTCTCGCTCGCACGACTTGAAGATGGCCAGTGACACGCGGAAGAACGTCTTGGACCCTTCGTAGAAGAAGACATCCCACACCCGCAGTGTGGTCTCCAGGGGCAACGTCCCGATGAACACCGACATCAGCCAGTTCGTCAGCCCCAGCGTGATGTCCGGCAGCCGCGACGTCACCGTCAGCGCGGGCGCCCGCGAGCCGCCACCGAGCCCGCCAGCAATTTTGTTGTACACATGTGGCGACGTCTCCTTGAGCAGCACCATGAGAATCCACAGGTCGATGTTAGCGCCCTCCAAGCTGATCTCGTGTGTGCTTGGGAGATACACCGAGCTGATAATGTGCAGCATCCAAAACGCCTTCTCCTCCGGCATGAACAGCAGCAACAACCCCGTGATAAAGTTTAGCGACTGCGTATATCCGATCTGGGGATTGTGCACGGCGAATGCATACAGCACGCGCCGGAGCGACTGGATCATCTCTGTCTCAACCGTCACGGACTCGTGTTTCGGGTTGCTGCTTCCAGCGCCAGCGCTGGAGCCTCCGTATTGTTCGACCGATTCAGGCTTGAAGTGGATGTTATCCGGAAACGTCCGATGTAAGTCGCGTTCAATGTGTTCCTTGTCGTCATTGCTTGGGGAATCCATGGCCTGCCGGACAAGCTGGTCGTAGAGCCCGGGATTCCGGTTCAGATGCTCATACCCGCCAGCGTAGAAGAACCATGCGGCTCCTCGATACTCCGAAGGAATTCCCTTGCGCACAAACTTTTTGACTTTGTTTGATTTTGGCGGGAAGGAGATCGGATCTGTGATCGGCAGCCGATTCTGGCGGAGCAGTTCCACCCACTTGATTCGCTGGGTCGCGGCAAAGTCGGAGTATGAGCTGTTCCACGCCTCCCACTGGGCAAGCGTCACATGATGGGTAGCCTTTCGGAACCCGTAGCGATCGCGCGCGTCCGTTCCCAACAGGAGAGGCGGAGGCACCACTCCGGGCAGCACGACCTTTCTTTCTTGACGCTCGACTCCGGGTGATTTTAATGGTGTCTCAACGGGTGGCTCTTCATGTGGGACTTCCTCTCCATCATGGCGATCGCTTAGTGGCCCTCGTACAGGGGCACTCAGTTCAGGGAGCGGTGGTACAGGCGGAAGATCCTCAGTAGGATCCATATCGGGCGAATGCTCATCAGAAGTGTGACCATCATCGAGCGTATATTCCGTGGGCGGACACGGGCTCCACGGTCTTACTTTCTCGTCGTCATATATATCTGGCGTTCCAGGTTCTTCCGTCACATCACTGAAACCGTCAAGGTACATGGAAATGGCATCTTCCACACTCATGCCCCCATCTTTTTCACAAGGTCCATCGGGCGTGTCAGGGGACAGGTCGGTAATCGAACTACTCTTGGTGAGAACACTACTGCGCTCAGTTCCGCTGGCTTGCTCGATGCTGGATCGCGATGTCATGGCGGAGTTGACACTAGATCGCAGTGCATCATCTCCATGTGCGTCTGCATAGCTCCCCGGAGGCGCGACGCGAGGCAATGCCAAGCCATACGCATCATCTGGGTACCGTTCTCGTGACCGAGGGGGCCGTTGGCGTCGATTGTGCAGTTTGGAGGTAGACATGGAGATGCGCAATCCTGGTGCGCCTGGCGGAAGCTTCCGGGGCGGTGGACGATCGAACTCAGTCTCTCTGGGAGGATATCCCGGACGAGGACCTGGTGATACCGGGAATGTTGGCGTACGGAGGGCGGGCTTGCGGGGGACGAAATAGTCATCATCTCTGGGTTGAGGCGAAGGGGAGCGCCATGATGGATCAACAGCAGCCACCTGTGCAGGGTGCAGTCGCGGGGAAGGCACGGGGGGGCGCTGAGAGGGAGGAGGGCGAACGCCGTCGGCGGTCGAGGGGCGTGGAAAGGGAGGATTAAGTCTCAACGGATCTAGGCGGGGAGGGTTCGGGATCCTGCGTCGGCTGGGGATATCATGCGCGCCTGCAAGGGGCGGATATCGAAAGTCTCCATTTCCTGTGACCATGGCCACGAGATGATAGATCCCAGTTCCCGCTGGACATTGGTTGGTGAGTGTAGAATGGAAAGACGCAGTCGAGGACTGATTTCAGGGGCGGGCGGACGGGCGATAGTTGATAAGGATGGGTGAAGAGGCAAAGGGAGGCGAGTTGAAGAGGAGGAAAAAAGCAACGAGAATAGAGTAAGCGCGTAGAGAAAGACTGCAGGGCAGTGGTGAACGAGTGAAGAGACCGGTCAAGCGGTCGAGCTGCCCCGTCAGGCGCGAAGTGAAACGAGCGGATGGAAAAGAAAAGTGCAAGCCAAGTTAATAGTCGCCCCGGCAGCGCGCGATGCAGCA